TCATGATGGCCCATCGCGAGCACAGTCGGCTTGCCGCCCGACTGTGGGCCAAAGATGCGCTGCGCGACGCGCTGCAGCGACTCAGGTGTTACGGCGTCAATCTTGTCCGACATCTCAGACACGGGAATCTTGCGGTTGTGTACCAGGAGCTGGATAACGACGCGTGAATTTACTGAGTGCGCGTACAAGGGCAGTGAGGTTTGCTGACCTGGCGACCGAGATCCTCAACCTCGACGGCGCGGCTCTCGAGAGCCATCGCAAGGCTGCTTTTGAGTTGGTTCTTCGCGCGGCTGAGCTCATCCGCCGGCACGTTCCTGTACAGTAGTAGCGCAAGCTGGTGGATGAGGTGCGGGAGGACTGTAGTCCGTGCCGACGGTGCGAACGAAGCGAATAGACCGAATAGCGACGAGTCGTTGTATATGTGGTGGAATGAGGCGCAGTGGTCGATTGCTGCGTGGTGATTCAGAATGTGGGTGTACAACCGGGAGTACATGCCCTTCCCAGGGCCGCCTTAGGACCGACATTAGTAGTGTAGTGAAGAACAACAATAGAGCGTACCTGCAGAGAAAGACCCGCCGCCGCCTAGAAGCACCTGCATGGTCGCAAGTTCGTAGATATCGTCATCATGGATGCCAACGCCCTCGAATCCGATGTAGATATGGTTGAATTCAGACTCGGGGTCATGGATGAACTGGTAGCCGCCAGTGTACGTTGAGGCGGTTGTTATGGGAGTGGTGGCAGGGACGCCCGGGTAGAGGTAAGAGGAAGCAGCTCTGGTTAAAGACTTGAACATCGTCTGAGACTGTGAATGTAAGAGATGGGGAGGAACGGAGGATGTTGGGCGAGATGACGACAGTGTCGTTGCCGGGCTGTCTGCAGTAGGCGTGTAATTCAGCGAAGAAAAGTGCTTGTCTGCGAGCTCGACGAGTTCTTCATGTGCCACGCCAGCACCTGCAATGACCATGCGCTCTGGACGGTACCACTCCTTCATGTACTCGCGCATGAGCGGAGCATCAATGAGGTCGATGCGTTCCTCCGGACAAAGCAGCGGGTTCCCGAGACCTTGGTCATTGTATGCGAGGCCATGTAGGATCTCAGGTAGGATGACCTCTGGCTTCGCCCGCAGCTCGCGGATTTCGTACTCGGCGGCGGCGCGCTGGGCCTCCAGTTCCTCGGGGAGGAGCGCCGCGTTTTGAACGGTCTCCGAAATGAGCGAGAGGGCCAGTGGCGTTGCTTGATGGAAGTGAGAGGATTGGTACATGATTGTCTCCCGGGACGACGAGCACATGATCTGGCCGCCGAGTGCACTCATGGCCGACGCCATGTCAGCGTCCGACATGGTTCGTGTGCTCTGTATGATCAATGCTCTAGGGTGACGCTCCTGATGAAGGAAAACAATACGCACCTTGAACGCCATCCTATCCACGAAATGGCTGACCCCCAAGTTGGCTGGCGTCTCATATCGTGCACCGGCGTCGATATAGAGTCCAACCGAGGAGAAATGGCCTGGCGTGTTCTCAGTGGCGACACGGATTTTGTTAGGAAGTGTTGTTATTTGGACGGGTGGGTTCGGCGGGACGGTCGAAGCATTGCGTGGTCTTGGGTGGCGTTGCACGCCTCTCCTGACAAGACTGTAAGGGACCCGTCGCATGAGTATGTGTGGGGACGACACAAGTTAGCCCGGGGCAAGTAAGTGGCAGCGGCTGCGTCAGCAAGTCTTCTCCGTCCGTCCGGTCCGCCACTGGGCCGGCGACGGGCGTTCGCACAACTTCTCTTCTCGGATTGAGTCGGTCAGGACTCCTCTCGGCGCTTCAACAATGGCATTTCGCGATGTTTCCCCCCAACCTCAACCAGAGGATACAGCTTCTCGCTTCCCAGGCTTCTAGCCATTGGCGGGCCCAGCCAGCCATGTTTCTGGCGGTCGTTTCGTCCCTCGATTCCTCCTTGTTCGATCGCTCGGTCAATCAACGGCGTGCCGAAGTATACATAACCCCAGAGTTCACTGAGAGATTCGAAAAAGCCCTACAGACTGGAGACTACGTTCATTATCTTGAAAGTGAGCACTTTAACTGATTCAAGAGCGTCGATGTTTCACGTCTTGTAGATGAACTCAGGGCTATGATGGTGTTGGACCCGTTGGCAGAGCCAGATAATGATGAGGGGGCTAGTTCCTTCAGTGAGTGATGATGGGTGGGCTTGGGGAAGGCAAGATGAAAAGTGGCTCGTTGTCCAGAACCAAAAAGGATACGAGATGCATTCCACAAGACACCATATCACGGAGGCCACGCACAACAGTTCAAGCACTATCTCTCCGATTGCGCACGTCGGTTCTCAGGCACGCAGGGTGCGGAGCAAAATTTCACTATCGGGAAAGGGTACTTTGGCAAGTTCGTGTCCATCTGCCAAACTTCTGGATGTGGTAAGACTCGAATGCTTCACGAGGTTTGTAAGGCAAACCGCCTTCTTGCTTACAACTGATTCTATGCATGTAGTTGGGGAAGACAGGTGTATTCTCGTTATACATCAACCTTCATGGGAAAGACGCAAGGGAGGACATTTACCCTTCTCGTGACAACATACCCGCCCGCATCCTCGTAGACGAGGCAGAACCAACTCAGGAGCAGTATACTACACGTGCACGCGCATTTTTCGGCTCCATATTTTTGACTTTCAAAGACTGGCTTCTCGATTGTTCGGAAGGTGCTCGTACTCTTCAGAAATGGGAAGAGACTATGCTTGTCGGAGAACAGTCCACAAGTACCCGCAAGGCGTTTTTCCAGGGAGTGTCCAAACATTTTGCACAGGTGATTCCTACCGTCATGGCAGCTATGTCCGACCTGAAGCCCTGACCCGTGTTCAGCTGCAAACTGCGACGAACGAAATTGATGCCCTTTTGGACCCATTCACCAGCTTGACCAAAACGTTCGCGCATGTACTCAAGGGCGAAGAGCCGGTCTTCATCATTATTCTCGACCAGGCCGATTGTCTACACTCGGGCCTGCATCCATTCAGTCTCTCAGACGTGTTGTGCAAGGTGATAAGTGCCTACTCGTGCCGCTTCCCTCACATTCCCGTCTGGGTAGTGTTCTCCTCTACGCGCCCTACTGTCGGAGACTACACCGAAATGGCACATGGTGCGCGTCGGTTTTGCAGACACGAGGTTCCTTGACGACTCGTTACTTATAGAATCCACCTCCCGTATTGCCCAGGCGGGCGAGAAGCTCTTTCCGCCGTTTTCGGATCTCGGTTGGGATCATCACGCGCGTCGTCTGGACAGAACAGCGCCTCTTGACAGCGACAAGCTAGCGAGCGTCGACTATCTTTGCCGTTTTGGGAGGCCATTGTACGTTTCTCGTGACTGTCCGCTTTGGTGGTTCGCTGACTGTGACAGATGGGGCGCCTTGATCGACAACACTCCTCTGACAGCCCTCGAGCTCGTTGCTGAAGATAGGCTGTGCGGCTCGCGAACCTTCGATCCGTGGAACGAGCCGGACCGCGTCCTTGCCGTCCTCGGCCAGCGTTTCGCACTCGACATCCTGCCTGGGCGCCCGCATTCCATTCCTATGATAGAGACCGGGATGGTGCACCACATGCGGTATCTGCACTGGATCGCCAACGACCGCAGATGGCGTGAGACCGGCTATCCCTCCGAGCCGTTCCTGTCCCATGTCGCGGCGGGTCTGCTTGCCCTGCGCTGCCACGACGAACCTAGTCTTGCACATTGGAAGCGGGGAGAGCTGATATACACCATCAAGCTCGTCCCGGCACTGAGGATGCTGGCATGCCTGATACGCGAAGGCATCGTTGACAAGTGTCAGAGTGGAGAGCTAATCAGTCGCGTCCTCTCGTTGTCCTGCAAGGACTTGGTCATCCGGGAGACATATCTCCCTCCACCGCTGAAGAAGCTGGGCCATGCTGGAAGGGAAGGAAAAGTTGTCGTCTTTTCAATGGAGCTTGATCCACCCCGTAAGTCGCACAACCTTGACAGGAGCTCTCAGTTTGGTCATGTACTTATGTGCATCGACAGCACTGCAAGAACAAGTGGCCTCGTCCCTCGCATCACGGAAACCATATGTCAAAGATAGCCAGCTGGTATACTGCCGCGAAATACCCCTCCTCGCATTCCTTGGCACCCTCCTCGGCCAGCGCTTCTGGCCAAGCGACGCAGACGAGCGCAACGCTCTCGCACGTGACTTTGCCGACGCCCAAATCAACTTCTCGCACTGGATTAAGGTCAAAGACAACCATGCACCGAAGCTGTCCGGCGAACCAATACCGTACGTTGTCGTGCCTTTCGCAACCTCCCGACATTCATTGACGTCGCCCTCGACAGGGCCGATGAATGGAACCGTAGGCTGTATTGTCGCACCGCTGCGGCACAGTTCTCTTCGCAACCCGGGGGCGCGACCCAAGCTATCCCGATCTACTTCGAGCGCGCCAACGCCTTCTCCACCCTGCTCGTCTCCGTCCGCCTCGGCACACCCAGCAAGGGCCCAGCTGATACCGCCCTGCTCGACGCCGCACGTGCGGACCTCGCGCTCGACAGTCCGCTCCCGTGCGTGGCGCTTGCGCTCAACTTTGGCGCGGAGGACGCGGACGGCTTCGTGGCGCGGTACGAGGACCGCTGTCTGCGTGTATATGCACCCGGGCTGGACGTCGCGGCGTTCCCGTTCATCAGGCAGTGGCCGAACATGGAGGCAGCGGTGCAGTTGCTCGCCGAAGAAGCGCTGCGCGGGGAGTGGCGCGGGCCGGCGATGTGGGGCGCTTCGAGCGAAAGGGAAGATATGCTCTGGGGAGAGGAGAGGTGCGATGCTGGAGTTTGAAGATCGTTTCGTTGTTTGTATCAGTTTGAGGACTATGAAGACGCGAAAGGTTAAATGTACCGCCGGTAGGTGTAACCAGAGTGCATTGAAGTAGTTCAGGTGTTGTGCCATGGTCGTCGAGCAAACGTCGAGTGCGCCGAGTTTCAGTGAGAGAAAGGGCAGGCAAAAGAAATTCCCAGACCCCGGCGCGATTTGAACGCGCGACCCCACGATCTGCAATCGTGTGCTCTAACCCCTGAGCTACGGAGTCATGTTAGCGCCGACGGCAAGTGCGCATATGGACCTGCTCCTTCCACATATGGATGCCCGAGATACCCGAGGATGATAGTCGACGGGAACAATCCGGGTGAGGAGAAAAGTGATACAATGATATGATAAGGTACAGGAGCGTACAGGACACGCGAGATATTCTACAAAGTAGCAACGGTGAATCCTCTACTGCAGTATCAAGAGAGCAAGATAAGTGCGGCAGCAACTTCGAGCGTGTCAGAAGTACTCTACTGTGCAGGCCGAAAGTCAGAGCTTGGTCCAGCGTGAAGTTCTTGTTGTCATGAGGTATACATGTGCGCCCTCGATATTGCGCTCCATCCATGCGCCCTTTTGCGTCGGTACCAGGGCCGTGACCTACAAGAGAATGTCCTTTCTCAGTGCGAGAAGATGGGTATCTGCGTGACACGTATCACTGACCTGAAAGCGTTGGCCCTCCTTGAGATCTCCAGGGCGCGACCCATCGAATGCGAGCGAGAGCACATCCCAGGCTGTGACCTCGACAAACGGTGGGCAGGCCGGCGTTCGACCCGCGCGTCGCGCATCAGGAGGACTCGGAAGTTGCGCACTTCCCGCGGAGGGCATACGGACTAGGGTGCTGCATGAAGAGAGAAATCTAGGATTTGCCGACGGAACCTTACCTGCAGTTCGCGGTCGATGTCTGCCTCGAGGCTTTCGAGTTCTTCCTCTGCACGCTGGCGTGCATAGCGCGTCAACCAGCCCGCTTCAGCCCTGTTTACGCGGCGCAACGTAGGACCGGTGTCGCTAGAGTATTCGCAATCATCGAATAGAGACTCGATATGATCTGGCATTTCGTCTATGCGTCTTTGGGTTAGAACACATGGGGTGCGGAGCTTGGTCAGGACCTCACCATCCTCTCCTGGATTCCATGACCCTGCCTTGGCTTCGAATCGCAAAGCCCAATCCAAGTATTGTCTCCGCTTCTTGTTAGCTTCTTCTTTGATGCGCTCGAACTCCTTTTCACGTTTCCGCTACATTAAGGTCAGCAAGAAGCAAAAGAACATCACTCAGGATTCACCTCCCAGGCAGCGCGTGCCTCTTCCTCCTCTTTCTCTAGCCTTGGGTGACCGGGTACGCTCCTTCCGTCTTCATTTGTGCTAAACTCGACGAATGCAACAGGGTGTTGCTTTCCGGTGCCAACGTTAGGATGAACAACGTCGTCAGAGATGCACACGAACCTTGACAACGATCAGATCGAGGCACGGCACAACTCCGCCCTCAGGAGAAATGCTGTGAAGAGTAGCTATGGCAGGGTGTGGTTGGAAACCGAGCTTCGCGTGCCAGGGTGCAGGGTGGGTCCCGTTGCCGGAGATGTTGAGCTCAACTCTGTCGTAAGCTTCCAACACTTCACAAGCTTCCGCGTCGCGTGGGATCTAGGCGGCCGTGATCAGGTTTCGATAATCCCAACTTGAAGTGTGAGGTGAAGGGTATACCGTGGCACCAGCGATGGCGATCTTACGTCCTACGCGAATGACCCCCCGGCGTGCCGCGCGAGCCAGAACTTCATCTACTCGCGCACGCAGACGATACCAGCCATCAGTGAGTTCAAGCGTGGGGTGTTGTACAACCGGTGTCCCGTCTTCGTTAATCCCGCCTTCCGACCAGGTGATTCCCGATACACACAGGACCATGTGCAGAGCGGCAGATGTATCTTGCGTGGTGATGAGACGAAGAGCAGGACGTGCTGCACCATTGAGCTCTCTTTCATAACTGCGCGAAGGCTGAGCGGTTGTGATGCGCGGTCCAGAGAGGGCCGCTTACCGATACCGAAGTTGGCGCATTATCTCTGTCCAGCTCCACCGCCTCCGGCCTACATCCGCTTCGCTGTCTGGGTCGAGTGCCACCATACCGGCTATTTTCCAGAGGATCAAAGACCAGTGATTGTCCACCCAGTCTTGGGTGGCCAAAGAGCAACCCATAGCCTCCAATTCACGCAAGGCATCGGCGGGTCCTCGGAGGTCCGGTGACCTGTGGTTGGCCCCCGGGACATCTTGAGCAGACGCGTCGAGTTTACAGCGAGGCGCTCTACTTAGGCTTGCGTCCTGTAGCTCAGCTGTATTTCTATGACAGGATAATTTATATCATGCGTCATGCCAGAAGGAGAAGCGGAGGCTCACATTCCCATGCTGGCAAGTGCTCCGAGACTGTACTTTCCAGGCCACAAACCCGAAGAAGCCAGAGTCTGTCGACCACGCGGAATCGCTGGCAGACACATCAGTGACGGTGCTTCTACACGCCATGGAGACATACTTAAATTGAAGAAACGCCTCCTGGTGGGCTTCTTGCTGCTGATGATTATCGGCTGCGAGCCACTTGCGCCATTTCCCGAAGTAACAACCCTCCTATCTGCGTCATACCTGGCCTGGAGCTGGCTGCGACCAGGCTCGCCCGGCCTCATACCCGGTTTGAAAGGTGTAACAAACTTCTTGGGTCCCTTCCGAGCGCTCCTACTAGGACCTGGAGTTGAGAAAGCAGCGCCCCGAACTGGCGTTGTGAAGGCAGTTGTTGCAGATTTGGGAAAGGGAGGCCGGAGACCCTTTGCGGGAGTAGATATGGAAACTACACTCTTGTTATTTGGGGCTGGGAGAGACGGGGTGCTAGGAGGATTGTACGAAGTGTGTGCGGCTGCGCGGTTGACCAATGGCGACTTGAATGGCCTCACTGGGGTCTTCCCTTTGAGATCAGACGTGGAAGGAATCTCAAACGAAGTGTTTTGAGGTAATCTTGGCGGTTGCGACCTTGGTTCTGAAGAAAGCGGCTCTTTGGGAACACGACTGGCACTCAAGAAGCCGACCGCACGGCTGGGTTCTTGAGTGCTCGCAAACCCGGATTTCGGTTGGCCGGCATCGTCTAAGCCGCGAGCAGTTTGACTCACGCCCGTAGCATGGGTTGGAACGTTCTCGACAGCTACCAGAGCTTGACGTGAGGGGAGTGGTGTATTGATTGGTAGTTCCTCCTGAGCTTCTTCTTCGTATTCAGGGAACCCGTCTTCCACTGCCCAGCGCTCCACTCGTTCCCGGGCAGCCTTCAGAGCTGCGGCGCTAATCTGGAAATGGTTCTCCTTTTCGGAAGCAACGAACATCGCCATCGCATCTTCTTTCGTGACTTGACCTGACGATCCGTATAATTCGGGCTCATCTCCAGCGTTTGCGTAGCCAGTTGATTCCTGGGAGCCCGATGGGGGTACATGCCCATCCTCCTTCTCTGCGATTACGTTCCTTACAATATTAGCGGACACAAAGCCCATTAGGGGGGCCGAAACAGCCCCGACGGCTACTAGCGCTGCGCTGTCGCGACCGTCCTCTCCAGGGTCCGGGTCCGGGCTTGACGAGTGTGTCTCGGTTGTGTCCACTGGATGGGGTGCGAGGGCTGCGGGCATAAATCCGGTAAATTCTTTGGATGTGGAGACGAAAGGGTTATCAGAGTCATCGGGTTCCATCTCTTGATCCCGTGGGAGCTTTGACGCAGACGAGAAGAGTGATAGAGTCGGACGTTTGAAAGTATCGACAGGCGGTTGGGAGCTCTGACGCAAAGAATATATTGCGTGACGTACAGGAAATGGATGCGACACTCACTCTAGCGCCGAGTACATCCTGTGAAGACTCCCCCGGATTGAACGCTGACACAAACCCAGGTCGATAAAGAGACTGTGATTGTGACATGCTAAACTCCAGTTCATCTAAGGCCCTAAACTCTTCTTGACTAGGAAGTTCTAGTTGTTCATCATATGTAGGCGAAGACAGTCGTTGTCGCTTTCGAGGGGGCGAGTGTGAACCTAGTAAAGGTGCATAAGCAAGGTTAAAGGATGTACATATGGGGCCACCAACGGGTCATAATGAATGAGTCCGTTTCACTGTATATGCGCCGGTCTGCTTATATGCGCCTGGATGAGTTGCAGCTGCAGAGATGCAGGTCAGGCTGAGGATGATGGGAAACAGAGGTCAGGCGATGCAATTGACAAAATGAGACGCGTTGCGCGTCTTCCATCACGTGGACGCGGCTCACGTTATGGCTTTCCCACGCACAGTGCACACGCGCACGGCTACCAACAAATCGGATGTGGACCAGTGGCAGTGGGTGACCACTGCCACTCTAGCTTCTTCGGTCTCAACGATAGGACTGAGCACGACTCAATCAACCTATGCATTCGCAACACTCACGCAACGATCTTAGGCTCTCGGCGCTATATCTGATGCCTCTTCCTATCTATCCCTTATCTGCAAACGTCCCTGGCATGATGGAGATCTGGCTCTTGATAAACTGCACTGCTTCTCGAACCAGCTCTCATATGGGTCAAGCTCTCCACATAATTGATCAAATACTGCCGCCCTTTCAGAGTTCCGTGAGCTATTGCAACCGCTTGTCTTGCGTACCAAGCCGGACCGACCCGACACACATCGTTGAAAAAGTGCCTTGGGTCCTCCAAGTGAATCCCACACCCGCGAATACGGACGGCATCGAAATGCAGGTCCGTGCGCTTCCTAATGAATAGGTGTACCCTTGCCGGGCGTTTTGTTGTGGTTGTGTACAACTTGGTCGCTCTTTGCGCCCTCGGTGCCTACTACGTCATCTTGCAGAGCTTCGTGGGCTTCCTTCATTGGCCATCGGGCGTCACAGCGCGCGACTTCCGAGCCGAGGCACTTGGTACTTGCGTGGGCAGTGCATCCGGTGTAATTCAGATGACCCCGGCCATTGTAGTCGACATATACTGATACTGCGTGCTGTTCATGCAGCTTACAATGAATGATTGGTTTGATATGTTTCACGTTGGCCTGTCCCAAGTCGCTCTTATAAGACACGTTGTTGGTTCGTGGACATTCGGAGTAACAGAATACCTGTTGGAACGATAGCCTGTCAATACTGTGTGAATGACGCATACCCAAAGTGATTGAGAAGACCTTCCAGCTGTAGATGTTGATAGAGTTCAGAACCTGTGGCCGGTAGCAAGTCTGCGTAAGTGCA